CTGAGGAAGGAAGATCATTTGAGTCCAGGAGTTTGAGTCTAGCCTGAGCAACATTGTGAGGCCTCACCTCTTAAAAAGAAAAACAAAACAGATATTTCCACCCCCAAGTTCATAGTGGCACTATTCACAATAGTCAAGGGGCAGAAGCAACCTAAATGTCTATTAAGAAATGAATAAACAAAATGTCATATGTACATACGAGGGAATATTATTCAGCCTTAGAAAGAAAGGAAATCTTTTCACATGCTACAACATGAATGAACCTTGAAAACATAACCCAGTCACAAAAATACAAACGCTGCGTGGTTCCACTTAAATGAGGTACCTGGAATAGTTAAATGCATAGGAACAGAAAGTAGAATGGTGGTTACTAGGGGCAAGTGAAGAGGGAAAAGGGAAATTGTGTTTAATGGATATAGAGTTTCAGATTTGCAAGATAAAAATGTTCTAGAGATCTGTTTCAAACAATGTGAATATACTACTGAACTGTGCACTTAAAAATGGTTAAAATGGGGCTGGGTGTGGTGGCTCATACCTGTAATCTCAGCAATTTGGGAGGCCAAGGCAGGCAGATCACTAGAGGTCAGGAGTTCGAGACTGGCCTGGCCAACATGGTGAAACTCCGTTTCTACCAAAAAATACAAAAAAAATACCTGGGCTTGGTGGCATGCACCTGTAATCCCAGCTACTCAGGAGACTGAGGCACGAGAATCGTTTGACCCCAGGAGGCGGAGTTTGCAGTGAGCTGAGATCTCACCATTGCACTCCAGCATGGGTGACAGAGTGAGACTTTGTCTCAAAAAAAAAAAAAAAAAAAAAAAAAGATATGCATAGAATGAAAGTGAAGGGATGGAAAAGAGTGTTCCATCTTTTCCATCATCCAAACAAGAACAGCAGTAGCTATATTTGCATCAGATAAAACGGACTTTAAGGCCAGGCGCAATGGCTCACGCCTATAATCCCAGCACTTTGGGAGGCTGAGGCAGGTGGATCACCTGAGGTCAGGAGGTCAAGACCAGCCTGACCAACATGGAGAAACCCTGTCTCTACTAAAAATATAAAATTAGCAGAGCGTGGTGGTACATGCCTGTAATCTCAACTACTCGGGAGGCTGAAGCAGGAGAATCGCTCGAACCTGGAAGGCAGAGGTTGCAGTGAGCCAAGATCACGCCATTGCACTCCAGCCTGGGCAACAAAAGCGAAACTCCATCTCAAAAAATAAAATTTAAAAAAAGGACTTTAAGTAAAAAACAATAAAAAATGATAAAGGAGACCAGGCACAGTGGCTCACGCCTGTAATCCCAGCACTTTGGGAGTCCGAGGTGGGCGGATCACTTGAGGTCAGGAGTTTGAGATCAGTTTGGCCAACATGGTGAAACCCTGTCTCTACTAAAAATACAAAAGTTAGCTGGGCATGATGGTGGGCGCCTGTAATCCCAGCTACTTGGGAGGCTGAGGACTTTTTGGATAAGACCTCAAAAGCACAGGCAACAAAACCAAAAATGGACAAATGGGATTATATCAAACTAAAAATCTTCTGCATAGCAAAAGACACAATACAATGAAGAGACAACCTACAAAAAGAGAGAAAGTATTTGCAAACTATACATTTGACAAAAGGTTAATATGCAGAATACATAAGGAATTTAAGCAACTCAGAAGCAAAACAAAGACAAAAACAAAAACAGTCTAATTTTTAAAATGGGCAAAAGACCTGAATAGACATTTCTCAAAAGAAGATACACAAATGACCAACAGATATATGGAAAAATGTTCAATATCACCAATCATCAGAGAAATGCAAATCAAAACCACAATATCACCTCATCCCAGTTAAAATGCCTATTATCAAAAAGACAAAAAATAACAAATGCTGGCAAAGATGCAGAGAAAAGGGGACTCATATACTATTTGTAGGAATGTAAGTTAGGATAACATTATAGAAAACAGTATGAAGTTTCCTTAAAAAATTAAAAATAGAACCACTATATAATTTAGCAGTTCCACTACTGGTTGCATCTCCAAAGAAAATGAAATCAGTATGTTAAAGAGACATCTCCACATCGATGTTTACCACAGCACTATTCACAATAGCCAAGATATGGATCAACCTAAATATGCATCTACAGGTGAAGAAAATGTGATATATATGTGTGTATACATACATATATACACATATATACATATATCATACATATATGTGTATATACATAAATATATACATATGTGTATATACATATATGTGTATGTATATATGTGTGTGTATATATATCTTGGCTATTGTGAATAGTGCTGTGGTAAACACTGGTGTGGAGATGTCTCTTCAACATACTGATTTCTCCATGGGTGTGGAGATGTCTCTTCAACATACAAGATTTCATTCTGTTTTATGGCTGAATAGTATTCCACTGTATATGTATGTATGTGTGTGTGTGTGTGTGTGTGTATATTCACATATACAATGGAATATGATTCAACCATAAAACAGAATGAAATCTTGTCATTTTTGGCAGCATAGGTGAACCTGGAGAACATTACGTTAAGTGAAATAAGTCAGGCACAGAAAGACAAATACTGCATAATATTACTCATATACAGAAGCTAAAAAAGTTAATTTCACAGAAGAGAGTAGAATAGTAAATACCAGAGGCTGGGGAAGGTAGGAAAGGGGGGGATTGGGAGAAGTTGGTCAAAAGTTGTAGTTAGATAGGAAGAGTAAGTATTGGTATTCTATTACACAGTAGAATAATTGTAGCAAATAACAATGTAGTGTATATTTCAAGACAGCTAGAAGAAAAGGTTTAGAGAGTTATCACCACAAAGAAATGATAAATGTTTAAAGTAATGGATATGGTAATTATCTCAGTTTGATTATTACACTATGTATATATGTGTCAAAAAATCACATTGTACCTCATAAATATGTACAATTACATTTAAATTATAAATTAAAAATAAAAATGGTTAAAATGATAAATTTTATGTGTTCTTCAACACAATAAAAAATGAAAAGGAAAGAATATGCGCTCTACAGGCAGACAACTTAGGGTAGCATATTAGCAATATTAATTTATACAAGACTAGCCATGCATTGTGGCTCATGCCTGTTAATTCCAGCACTTTGAAAGGTCAAGGCAGGAGGACTGCTTGAGTGTAGGAATGCAAGACCAGCCTGGGCAACATAGTGAGACCCTGTCTCCATAAAAAATGAAAAAAGGCAGCGGGGCACAGTGACTCATGCCTGCAATCCCAGCACTGTGGAAGGCCAAGGCAGGCAGATCACCTGAGGGCAGGAGTTTGAGATCAGCCTGGCCAACATGGCAGAAACCCTGTCTCTACTAAAAATTAAAAAATTAGCCAGGCGTGGTGGAGTGTGCCTGTAATCCCAGCTACTCAAGAGGCTGAAGCAGGAGAATCGCTTGAATGTGGGAGGTGGAAGTTGCAGTGAGCCGAGATGGTGCCATTGTACTGCAGCCTGGGTAACAGAGCAAGACTCTGTCTCAAAAAAAAAAAAAAAAAAAAAAAGGAAAGGAAAAGAAAAGAAAAGAAAAGAAAAAAGGGCCAGTCGTGGTGGCTCACACCTGTAATCCCAGCACTTTAGGAAGCTGAGGTGGGCGGATCACTTGAGGCCAGGAGTTCAAGACCAGCCTGGCCAACATGGTGAAACCCCATCTCTACTAAAAATACAAAAATTAGCCTGTGGTAGCACACGCCTGTAGTCCCAGCTACTTGGGAGGCTGAGGCACAAGAATCACTGGAACCCATGAGGTGAGGAGGCTGCAGTGAGCCAAGATCGTGCCACTGCGCTCTAGCCCGGGCAACAGAGCAAGACTCTGTCTCAAAAAAATGAAAAACGAAAACAAATTTATATGTGACCTTGAACAAGTTACTTACTCTAAGCCTAAATTTCCTGAAGTTTAAAATGACAATACCACTTCCATCAAGTTTGTCGTATGGCATAAAAATGGGTACACTAAATATTAGTTCCTGCCCTTCTCTCATCTAAATTGCCTTTAAGGCTTATGCCATTGTGTTAAACATCTTCAGTGGTGAGAAATCTTTAATCTTTAATGATGGATTGGAAAATATAGTCAACTAAAAGCATGCAAGCTAAGTTTAGTGAACAAATGATGGATAGTTTTTAGCCTAAAAGACATTTTGCAGAAAGAACCCTATGAATCTGAGCTACACTATGACCTATGATCATATCACTATTAATTTACTTTTTGGAAAAGTTCTCACAGAAGTTCTCAACATTTTTCAAATTACTGTAGGTTAAAATGATTGTTTGTCCTGGTTAATTCCTGCACTGCATGCCCCTGACATGCACGTAATTCTAGAATATTAAAATTGTGCATTGCAGACTTTGGTAACCTGATTTTTGGATCATATAAAATACACATTTTATTAGATGTTACTATTTTCTTCAAAAAACATGATTTTGTCATATTAGAAGCAACTATATGTCCCTAAAACAATCACTTACTCTGAGTTCTTACAAACTGCAAGAATAACAAACCATTGGTATAGGGTCATACTTTACAGTACCTTTATAATACGCTCAGGATAATATCCTAAATTTCCATCTAATTTTCTCCTGTCACAATATAAGTACATGCCCTCTTGTCCTAGAGTCTGTTAATAACAGAACAAGTCCAACTACAATTTCGAAGTCTGGCATCTAGGATAGTTATTAAATCATCCTTCATCCCTGCCTTCTCCAAGTTAAATAATCTAAATTCCTCTGCTTATTCTTAATATGTTCTATATTTTTCAAAGCCCAAATCATTATATGTAATACTAGGAAAATAACTATTACATACTTTACAAAGATAATTAATAACAAATATAGAGTTAAAATTTTAGCTATGTAAAAATAGCAATGTGACAGGTATAATACAATTATGAATAATAAATGGAGACCCAGAAAAACTGTCATTCAAATATTAATTCTACAGCGTGATTCTACTTCTGGCATTCTAGAGCACAATAATCCTTACCAGGGGACTTTCCTTGTTGTGAGTTGCTTCTGTGCTCTCTGTATCTGGCTGGAGTGGCTAAACCTGTGTCTTTGCTAGGCTTGCTAGCAGGCCCCATTTCTGAAATGAGGAATCCCATCTGTTCTGAAGGCAAGATATTCTCACGTGAACTGGTCTGGCATTTTATATTGGCATCCACCTAAAATATTAAACCCATTCATTAATTGAGATTTCCTCCAAATATCTGCTAAAAGTTAAGATATTTTATCAGAGGAGTTCTATTATAGGAACATGATCCAACAAACAAGCTTATAAGGCTTTTCATTCTTATAAATGATACTATACCTTTCTCCATACACAAACTACTAAAATGTATATGGAGCTAAAACATTTACTTATGATCAGAGGAATATCTACCATGAAGCTTGTTGATTTTTTTTTTTAACTTACAAAAGTGCAGGGTTTTTTTTGTTTTTTTGTGGTTTTTTTTGTTTGTTTGTTTTAAGGCAGGGTCTCACATTGCTGTCCAGGTGAGAGTACAGCGGTACAATCATAGCTCACTGTAACCTCAAGCTCTTGGGCTCAAGTGATCCTCCTGAGTAGCTAGGACTACAGGTGCTAGTTAATTTTTAAAAAGTTTTTTTGTAGGCTGGGCGTGGTGGCTCATACTTGTACTTCCAGCACTTTAGGAGGCTGAAGTGGGTGGATCACAAGGTCAGGAGCTTGAGATCAGCCTGGCCAACATGGTGAAACCCCGTCTCTACTAAAAATACAAAAAATTAGCTGGGCGTGGTGGTGGGCACCTGTAGTCCCAGCTACTCAGGAGGCTGAAGCAGAAGAATCGTTTGAACCCAGGAGGTGGAGGCTGCAGTGAGCCAAGATTGCACTACTGCACTCCAGCCTAGGTGACAGAGAGAGACTCCATCTCAAAAAAAATTTTTTTTTTTAATTTGGATTTTTTTGGGTATTATTTTAAGGGGTACAGGTACAATTTTGTTACATGGATATACTGCATAGTGGTGAAGTCTGGGCTTTGAGTGAATAGTGTACAGTGTACCCACTAAGTAATTTCTCATCTCTGTTCCCCCTCCCACTCTCCCACCCTTCCACATCTTCAATGTCTCCAATGTCTATTATTCCACATTGTATGTCCAGTGTGTACACATTATTTAGCTTCCTCTTATAAAATGACAACAGGTGCTATTTGACGTTGTTTCTGTGGATATACTTTTGATGAATTATTCTTACTAATTATTGAGAATTAAAGTTTATTCATTTTCTTGTAATAAACTAGTGGCAATAAAGGAATTAGCCTTTACCTTCTGCTTTAGGAGTGCAGATATTAGTAAGGAAATTTAAACACAGTATGCTCACAAGTTACAGTTCAATGATGCTGTAATAAAGTTAGAAAAGACCTCCAACCATCTCCTTACCTCTGTGCTACAAATGGCTAGGAAAGTCCTCATAATGTCTGTCAAATAAACCATCCCTCCTGGGTAACAGAATTATCGGCAAGGCATATCTAATCTATTCGAATTAAGATAGGAAGCAAAAACTCAAGGGATGCTTATAACATGAAAATAAGCTTCATACCACAATGCTCAATTAGACAACCTCTCTTTAGAGGTTGACTTCAGACCATGCATAATACAATGAGAGGATGCTTAAGGGTTAAGGTAACTTCTTTCTGAATCTTTTGTGCAGAAGCACTGGGACATGATCCTCCTGGAAACCATAATGAACTAGTATTAAACCCAAATAAAATCTGAACAAACTCTCCACTAGAATAGTCTTTAGCAGAAGTACTAGGTACTTTGAGCTTTATTAGGATTTTTTCTTTGCCCCCTTACCTGGTGTGTGCTGAATGGTGGCCCTTCCTGCACAAATACTACTGAAGATGGAGATGGATTATGATTTAGGTGCTCCTTCAGTTTGACATGAGCTTGCTGGATGGCTGCAGATTCCTGTATTGTGCTATTTTCAACAGGCTGAGCTGTGTGGATGGTATAGATGTACTCAGGTGACTGTGGTAGAGAGCAGGCAATTGCTTGTTCTGTTCCAACCACAAAAGACATAATATCTGAGCCTACAGGAGTAAGTGGCTCCAGCTGGCTAGCCTGACTTGCAGAACATGGATTGCTGTTGTTAGAATTAGCTAGAATGTGTTGGCCTCTGTTAGATTGAGATGTTGGGCACTGATTCTCAACAGGCTCCACCTTTACCATCTCCAATTTAGGGGAGGAATGCAACTCATCTACTATCTGAAAGACAGCCTCTAGGTTTACTTCTGTCTTTTTATTTTCATCAGTAGTACTGCAGGGCCAATTGGAAGGCAAAAATTCAACTGGATAGGAGGATTGCATTGAAGGATTCTGGGAAAAGAAAAAATATAACTGTTTGGATAGAAAATCAAATATGAGATTAAGGAGGAAAGCTACAATATTTAGGCTGATGAGTGCTAAACATAAATAGATTAAACTTAAAGATCACTAAGAAAACCTAGACACGAATCTACTTTTCAGCAATAGTAGCTTCAAATCTACTGTTAGCATTTACTTAGTATGTACTACATGTCAACCACTCTGCTAAGTTTAACACTTCAATGGGTCAATAATTCTTAGGGTTAAACTATACAAAATCAAAAGCTATAGTACCCAAATACCTATTTGCTGAGAAAGCATCTATAAACCAAATTCTTCCATAAAAGCTGACAGACAAAAACATAATTTGTATCTATCATATACTGTTTTAGGAATGCAGTAAGGAAATTTCAAACACAGGATGCTCAAAAGTCTACCAATCCTTCTACGGATTCAGGGAGTGGTACTAATATTCTGTTCCAAATAATATGGGGAAAAATGGATGGAGTATCAAATGCCCTTTGTTTCCTGGGATTATTTATTTTTAATAATAAAGCAGGCCGGGCGCGGTGGCTCAAGCCTGTAATCCCAGCACTTTGGGAGGCCGAGACGGG